AAATTTTGGAAGTTATTCATATCATACTATATATAAAGCGCAAGCACCCCCATCTGACGTCGTCAGTCGGGCCAGAGGTGTAAACATGTATGTCGTTTTGCGCCGGTGCGAGCGTACCGAGCTGATGACTCACAATGGTAGTGATGGCTGTCTTGGACGATGTTGATCAAATGGCATACCCCAAAGAGCGATCACAATGGTAGTGATGCCTGTCTTAGACGATGTTGATCAAATGGCATAACCCAAAGAGCGATCACAGTGGTAGTGATGCCTGTCTTAGACGATGTTGATCAAATGGCATAACCCAAAGAGCGATCACAATGGTAGTGATGCCTGTCTTAGACGATGTTGATCAAATGGCATAACCCAAAAAGCGATCACAATGGTAGTGATGCCTGTCTTAGACGATGTTGATCAAATGGCATAACCCAAAGAGCGATCACAATGGTAGTGATGCCTGTCTTAGACGATGTTGATCAAATGGCATAACCCAAAAAGCGATCACAATGGTAGTGATGCCTGTCTTAGACGATGTTGATCAAATGGCATAACCCAAAGAGCGATCACAATGGTAGTGATGCCTGTCTTGGACGATGTTGATCAAATGGCATAACCCAAAGAGCGATCACAATGGTAGTGATGCCTGTAGACGATGTTGATCAAATGGCATAACCCAAAGAGCGATCACAATGGTAGTGATGCCTGTCTTAGACGGTGTTGATCAAATGGCATAACCAAAGATCACAGTGGTAGTGATGCCTGTTTTAGACGATGTTGATCAAATGGCATGATCCAAAAAGCGAATCACTAGACAAGCTAATTTTCGTATAGTTCGAATCGCTTCGACACTTACAAAAGCAACTCAACTTTCATTGAATTGGAACAGGTTGGTTTACAATTTTACTTAGATCATTTTCATTATATTCCTTCAACATTACTTATTACTCAAATATAATTTTATCGTTTTTAATTTATCCATCCTTTGACTAAAAGCTCGAATTTCCAAATTTCATATAGGAGACAGTTAGCTTTTTCAGTCCATACTAACTTGCAAAAAACATCTTATTGTGATCTTAAGATGTTTGACTGTCGCTGATGATTCCTGAATGAATAAAAAATTTTATTTCTCAAGCCTCTGATATGAGTACGAACTCTTTTGAGATTTCCATCAGATGATTAGCATTTTTCAAGTCACAAGCGGCGCCGAATTTATTGTTAGAAGATCTATTTTGTCTTTCTTTTGACAGTGCACCATAAGTTTTTCAAAAGTTGCAAATTTCAGCAGAACATTGTTGTCTCTCATATTTCATTTTCAGTGCTCAGTATGTTTCCTTATTGTAGAAGAGTTGAGCCAAATCTTTGTTCGATGGATTTATTTTGTTTCTCAAATTTTTTCGTCAACATGCCTTACCAAGAAAGCTGAACTTTTCCAAATATTTTCTATGAAATGCTTAGTAGATATATTTATCTCAGACAAATTGCACTAAATTGGTTTTTGGAAGTTACTCGAAAATACCGTTACTTCTTCGGACAGTCTCTGTCAATGATTCTTATAACTGACCACTTCGTTTGGAATGCGCGTGTCATTCAAACAAAAACATTTTCATTATATTTTTTCAACATTACTTATTGTTCAAATATAATTTTATCGTTTTTATTTTATCCATCCTTTGACTCAAAGCTCGAATTTCCAAATTTCATTTAGGAGACAATTAGCTTTTTCAGTCCACACTAACCTCTGAATATCTTAAGATGTTTGACTGTCGCTGATGATTCCTGAATGAATAAAAAATTTTATTTCTCAAGCCTCTGATATGAGTACGAACTCTTTTAAGATTTCCATCAGATGACTAGCATTTTTCAAGTCACAACAAGCGGCGCTGAATTTATTGTTAGAAGATCTATTTTGTCTTTCTTTTGACAGTAACCTCTGAATATCTTAAGATGTTTGACTGTCGCTGATGATTCCTGAATGAATAAAAAATTTTATTTCTCAAGCCTCTGATATGAGTACGAACTCTTTTAAGATTTCCATCAGATGACTAGCATTTTTCAAGTCACAACAAGCGGCGCTGAATTTATTGTTAGAAGATCTATTTTGTCTTTCTTTTGACAGTGCACCATAAGTTTTTCAAAAAGTTGCAGATTTCAGCAGAACTTTGTTGTCTCTCATATTTCATTTTCAGTGCTCAGTATGTTTCCTTATTGTGGAAGAGTTGAGCCAAATCTTTGCTCGATGGATTTACTTTGTTTTTCGAATTTTTTCGTCACATGCCTCACCAAGAAAGTTGAACTTTTCCAAATATTTTCTATGAAATGCTTAGTAGATATGTCAAAAGTCCTCCTTTCTTGTAACCTGGGCATTCTAGTACAACTTCACTTGATTTTCTGTGCCGTACAGGTTTTTAACGATGACACACTTTATTGCCTGACGTTTCGGTTACACACCGTCTTCAGAGGCCTGGAAAGGTGTCAGTCACATTGATATCACTCTGCTATATATATATATATATATATATATATATATATATATATATATATATATATATATATATATATATATATATATATATATATATATCATATATCACTTTGCTTAGTAGATATATTTATCGCAGACAAATTGCACTAAATTGGTTTTTGGAAGTCACTCGAAAATACCGTTACTTCTTCGGACAGTCTCTATCAATAATTTTTATAACTGAGCACTTCGTTTGGAATGCGGGTGTCATTCAAACAAAAATTGTCAGTGTTTTAGCGTGAGAGTTGCAATTTTTCGAATTTCGAATGCAAAGTTTTTTTTCAAAGAAATTGCGAAAACCGTTTTTGTTGACTCTATACCGTTCTGCTTCCCTTTTTCAAAAGCAGTCTTTATTAATGTAATTCTGGATAAGCGCTTCATAAGACATCATTCCTAATGTATGTTACAGAGATGTATTTACGAGATCAGGAATAATAATTTTCCGTTATTTGTCAAACGCACAGTAGTTGTTATAAAATTCAAAAAGACTGCTCAAAATCTGTTAAACATTTCTCACATTGCCGACACATTTCACAGACATTATCCGTGCCGCAAATGTCTACTACCCAAAACAAGTTAAAAAAGTGCATTTTACTTCATCATAGTTTTTACTGTGCGCCTAAAAAAGTCGAAAAATCGCGTTTAAAAAAAATTATTGCATGCTATTTGAACTGATTTTGTGAGTATACGCTGTATATATAGCTTGATTTTCTCTACAGTCAAATAAACATTCTTCTTTCCAATGTTTTCAAGGTTCTCTGTTAATGCCCTTTGTAAAAAACTGAGAATATTCCAACCAAAGTCCCAGCTTTCCATGCGTCATATGCCCTTCAAATTTGAATATTTGCTTTCGCAAATTTGCATTTCTTTGCATCAACAAAAAACGTTTTTTATAATGTTGCGCTCCAATCCGTTCTGATATTTACACGTTCTCACAAAAAAGCCCGACAGGTAAGATACCAGCTGATACAAGCTGCCTTACGAAATTTATAACTCTAAAGGCTACTGAATGCCGAAGGCGCAGAAGATTATTAGTTGGGCGGGCGCGAACGCGGCGCGCGTTTATCTTTACCGTTGTGAATCGTGCGCCTCATGCGCTCTGCGCCTATTAGAGCCGCGTTCGCGCCCAAAGATACTGCGCCTTCGTCGTGCAACAGCCTATAAAAGCTTGCATTGCAGTACTACTGAATAGTATCCCGTGACAGTAATTCGACCACACGTTATGGAAAACATAATTGCAGCGCAGGTATGACACTTTTAGAAAAATTCGAAATAATTGCGGGTTATGCATTTTCGGGGCTTCCGAAATTTCGGGAAACTTTCAGGGAACTCTTTCAAGTCAATTTCCTTCTGAATCTGCCACTATGTCTACAAGTAGTATGACAAATCAGGTTCTGTTATTTTATGATCAGGATTTTCTTCCGAGATATCAATGTAACAGACTTCAGACACAAGCTTCACACTATAGCAAGGCCACTAAAGATTCTACAATGCTTCCACGGCCCAGTAATGATTTCATACAAAACGACCTTCGCGCCTGCTTGGCTGAACAGGTAAAATTCATGGCAACTAATAATAAATATAAATGTTCGCAGCGATAAGTTCTAGACGGATTCACAGCAGCAGGTGGATGGAAGCAATGCCACAACTTCAATTTTGGAAGCTTCGAAAAAGCATTCAAACCTTTTTTCAACAAAAGCTGAAAAGGATGCACACAGAAGATCTACGGAAACCCAAGTTGCGCACGACCTACGTGTTGCTGCTGAAGTAGAACGAGCAAATTTAAGGAAATCCAACGAAACTGAAAGCGAGCGCAAGCTACGTCTCTCAGTCAATGCAGAGAGGACCAAATTAAGGAGGTCTGCTGAAACCGAAGACAGCAGAGCCGACCGTCTCGCTAGCAATGCTGCAAGAATTAGGAAAATAAGGGCAGCTGCTGCTATAGAGAAGCGAGTACTGCGATCACATACGCGAGTAGATGAGATGCAAGCACAGCCTGCGGCGGCATCTCATGGAAACACTGAACAAAATCCTCGGAAGCGTCCTCGATCACAGCAATTAGCAGAAGATGATTGCGTTCCGAGTACTTCCATTCTAGATAATTCCGAACTCGTGGTTAGTTCATATTTCAGAAAGTTTCGACTACAACATGTAATTTTTTTTAGGAAAACGTTCCGGATGCAACTTCTTCATGTTTCTCCAGCATTATATCTATAGAGGAAATGGCAGATGAAGTTTCAAAAACGAAAAATTGGTTGAAGCCTTTACGTTTTGAATTCAGAGCGTAACATCGTTTGAGCAGCAAGAGAATACTAGCGCAATCCGCAACCAACGCATACTGAAAACCTCACAGATAGAAAGTGAATCGAATTCTAGCAACCATGAAGTAATAATTAACTTTTTTTTCAAATTGGTTTTGATGAGCTTTTTATGTTTGTGAGTGTAACAAACTCAGATATCTCAAGTCTACTTTTTTAAGAGCATCTTTGTGAGAACTCCAGCGATTGCGTCCACTGTATTCTTGAAGGATTTCACTGCGCAGGTATATAGCAGCAAGTCCTCTTCAGAAAAGTTCAAGTGCTGCGCTTAGTCCACGTTTTTTACAGGTCCCTCGCGCACTGGAAATAAACTTGAATGACGTAGATGAAAATAGTCTCAATTTCACATTTCACCGAAGTCCAGTAAGACGGCACGAAGATTGCGAGGTTATATCACTTCCCAGTGAGATCTCTTCGACTACGTACGGAACCGAGGTGAGCTTGGGTTATGCACATGTTTTGAGTTAAATTACTTAGTATTTCAAGTATCCTCCCCCAAGAACTGCGATCAGTGAGTCTTTGAACACACCTACAGATCAGTCTGCGATTCAGGTCAGGTTATATGAACCGTTGTGCTTATTGACTAAAGCAATGTTTTAGATGAGATTAGCTCGAGATAATGAGCAGCGCCGGCTCAGATCGCCTCCAAACTTCGGCATAGCTTTGACTGGGATTAACATAGAGGAAAACTACTTAGGAGTTCTCAACGTGAGCTGCAGTCACTGCGCAGCTCTCTATTTTCCTGGCGAGGCTAAACCTAGGAACGGTTGCTTCAATATGTGCTGCAATTTCGGAAACATCTCTTTGGATTTTTTTTCAAACTTCCCGGAGCTCTTCCTTTCCCTCTACACCGGAACGAGTGATCTCTCGAAAAACTTCCGTATGCATATTCGCTCCTATAATAGTGCCCTTGCCATGGCTTCAATGGGTGCTCAAGTGGACACTCCTCGTGGCTTCGGACCTTACTGCTACCGAATTCACGGCCAAGTATACCATTACGTCGGTCCCGCAAGACCAGAAAAAGGACTTCGTCCACTATTCGGACAAATATACATACTAGACACGGACGCTGCGGCCGCCGAAAGAATTGGTAACCCAGCTAATGCAAATTGTAATGCAACTGTGATGCAACAATTAACATCGTGGTTGCACTCCCATAACAGTTATGCTGCTTCATTCAAAATGATGGGAGATGTGGCTGCGGAAGAAGAACAACGAGCTGTCATTGAAAAGAGGCAAACACCTACAATTCGCATGGTTTTTGATGACAGCGGTAGTCTGGATCGTCGTCGCTACAATGTCCCCGCCTCAAGCGAGATCGCTGTTGTCTACGTAGGTGAAGACAACGATGTTCCGGCAAGTCGCTCTCTAGCAATTCATTACAGAAGAGGCGGTTTGCAGAAAATTCGAGACATTGACGGTTGCTGCGATCCCCTAACTTACCCCTTGATATTTCCAAGAGGAGGACAGGGGTGGCATGTTGACTTGAAGAAGAATCCGAGTACGCGCATCCGAACAAGATTAACTCAGCGAGAGTTTTACTCAAACTTGCTTGCAGTGCGCCGGTCTTTCAACCCACTTCATTTTGCTGGAAAGCTTATGCAGCAGTTTGTCGTTGACGCATATGTGAAGATTGAACAAAATAGACTAAATTATGCCCGAACACATCAGACGGAACTTCGAGTCGACAGCTACAAAGGGCTTATGGATCACTTGGCTAGAGATGACACAGATGGGCCACCAGGTCAGCGGATAATCCTACCGTCTTCATTTCAAGGCAGCCCCCGCGCTATGCATCAGGCTTATCAAGACGCGATGGCCATTGTGGCAAAATATGGAAAGCCGGACTATTTCTTAACATTTACTTGCAATCCTAAATGGAAAGAGATAACTGAAAATCTGCATCCTGGCCAATGTTCCTCCGATCGACCTGATTTGGTAACTCGCGTGTTCAATCGGAAATTGGAAGTTCTGCAAGATCATTTATTCGAGAAGAAGGTCTTAGGGCGTGTAGCAGCTTATGTTGGGATCGTAGAGTGGCAAAAACGAGGTCTACCTCATTGCCATATGCTTCTCATTATGGCCGCAGATTCGAAACCAAGGACCAGCGAGAATGTCGATGCAGCAGTTCAGGCGTGTCTTCCAAGTGCCACGGACAGTCCCCGTCTTCTCAGCATAGTAGCAAGGAACATGATCCACCGTCGCTGTGGGACAGCCAATTTGAATGCACCATGCATGATAAATGGGGAGTGCTCAAAACGTTTCCCAAAGGACTTTCGAGACACAACTGACGTTGATGTAAACGGTTACCCCAACTATAGAAGGCCTAATGACGGCCGCACAATTACAATTAGGGACGAAACGTTCGACAACAGGTACGTTGTGCCTTATAATCCCTATCTGTTGCTGCTTTTGAACGCTCACATAAATCTTGAGATTTGCGGTTACGTGCAAGCGGTCAAGTACCTTTATAAGTACGTATACAAAGGTCCGGATCGAGCTGCTTTACGACTGCTGCAGCAGGATCCCATCGGACGATCTGACGAAATCAGAGCTCACCTGGACGCTCGTTACGTATGCTCACCAGAAGCACTCCATCACATTTTCATGTTCGGATGCCAATTCAAATCCGCTACTGTCTACCGTCTTCCCGTACACCTTCCCGACTTCCAAATGGTGACTTTTCAATCAGGTGGAGAACGAGAAGCAGCAGAACGCGAGGCAAACAAAGACTCCATGTTAACAGCTTGGTTTAAGCTTAACATCGAATACGAGCTTATGGAAAACGAGAACATTGTATGTGATGGTGTAGATGCTCGCAATCTTTGCTACCATCAGCTGCCTGAGCACTTCACCTTTGTGAACGCACGTAAATGGAAAAGAAGGGGAAGAGGAAATCGCCAGATTGGACGCATGTATATGGTGTCTCCTGCAGAACCAGAGAGATTCGCTTTACGTATCTTGCTCCTTCATCGGAAGAACATGCATTCTTTCGAGGACCTTCGCACTGTCGAAGGGAATGTGCATCCCACATTTTTAGATGCAGCGAGAGCTCTGGGATTTCTGCGTGACGACTCGCATTACGAGAGCTGTTTGGAGGAAGCTACTCAATTTCAAATGCCTGCGCAATTGAGGGCGTTGTTCAGTTATATGCTGGCATTCTGTGAAATTTCTAATCCACGATACTTATACGATCGCTTCAAGGCTGATATGGCTGAAGATTTTAGTCATGGGGGAGCTACAGCGTCTGATGCAGAAGCACTTGCGTACTACGATCTATATGATAAACTGCAAATACTGCGTTACGACCTTTCTGTCAGTATCACTCCACCTACACACATTCGACCGGTGCTAGAGGACCAAACTGACTACGCGTCTCACGAAAAGAAGGGCAGGGAAATGTATCAGTGCCTCAATCGGCAACAGAAGTCAACGGCAGACAGTATTCTAGCTTCCTTTGATTTGGATGCGCCTAAGCTACACTTTGTCGACGGTCCTGGAGGTAGTGGAAAAACCTATCTTTACAATGCCTTATATCATATGTTGAAGGGGAAACACAAGTCTATCATCTGTGTAGCGTGGACAGGAATTGCAGCAAATTTGTTACCTGAAGGCAGGACAGCCTGCTCAACATTCAAGCTGAATATGAGATCTGGAAATCAGGAGAGCACAATGAGACGAGAAGCTAAAGAGGCCACACCTCTAAAAGAAGCAGATATAATCATCTGGGATGAAATCAGCATGGTTTCAAAATTAGCTTTGAAGGCAGTCAATCGTCTTTTTCAGGATCTGATGTGCAACACTGAGCATTTTGGGGGAAAAACTGTAGTCTTGGGCGGGGACTTCCGACAGGTGCTGCCTATCATAGAGCGAGGAAGGGATGCCGATATGGTTGATGCATGCGTAAAAAATAGCCAGCTCTGGGAGTTGTTTCGCATGCATAAGCTTTCAGTCAACATGAGATCCGCAGAATCTGGCTCTTCTTGGTGCAATTTTTTGATGAGAGTTGGAAATGGAGAGGCAGAAGAAGACGAAGTGGGACGAATAGAGATTCCTGCAGAAATAGTCTCTACTGGCAGTCTTATAGACGATGTTTTCGGTGATCTGTTAACAGACTTCCACAGTTTGAGTGAGCGTGCGATTCTGGCACCTCGAAATATCGATGTACATATAATCAATGAAGAAACTTTGGATAAACTCCCAGGACAGCTTCACGAGTACTACAGTGTAGATGATGTGATCAGCGACGAACCGCAAAACGATTTTACCAGCGAATTTGTCAACAGTCTGACCCCAACAGGAATGCCTCCACACAAGCTAAGATTGAAAGAGGGCGCTATAGTCATGCTTTTGAGAAATCTTGATGTTCGCAATGGGTTGTGCAATGGAACAAGACTGATTGTCACACACTTTAGACGTTTCGTTCTGGGATGTAGATTTGCATCAGGAGATCGGAAAGGAAAATGGGCTTTAATACCACGTATCGACAACTATACAGACAAAGGTGTACCGTTTCGATTGAGAAGGACGCAGTTTCCTATTCGTTTGTCATTTGCAATGACAATAAATAAAGCTCAAGGCCAGAGTTTCACGAAAGTGGGTATCTCCCTTGAAACGGAAATATTTTCACATGGACAATTATACGTCGCCTTATCGAGATGTCGAAGCAAAGAAGGAGTTAAAGTGTATAAGAAAGAGGAAAGAGTGAGGAACGTCGTGATAAAAGCAGTCCTCAGTTAACGGCGTTCAAAGCTCAAAGATTAAATGCCGAAATCAAGATTGTGCCAGTTTGATTTGTTCCTTCACGATGCACAATTTTCCTGCGTGTTCATTGCAAGAAGGTCAACAGAGTCCGCAAGCAAGGTACGGCAAAACAAAGTCATTAAGTTTCATTAATTCACATTTTCCAGCAAACATGTACGTGTACGTGCCCATGCGCAAACAAGAGAGAAAACTCAAAAACAGTGCAGGGTGGGTTTTACTGAGTTGTGGTTCAATATTTTTTTCAATTACAGTTTATTCCGTCTACCTCATTCGCAAGCAAGATACGGAAGTTCGCAAAATCAGCGCACTTTACACGATCTGCTTCCAAACTGTAGTGTCTCTGCTCATGCAAAGAAGAAGGGAAAAACTCACCGCTCAGAAGAGTGCGCGGTGGGTTTTGTTGATATGTCTCAGTATTCTCTATTCGCTTCAAAACACAAATTGCAGGTGCTCTCGCCTACAGACTTATTCATCGTACAAGTCATATGTCTTGGTAATGTAGAATTTTCGTCTTACATTTTGTCTGCTCGAGACCAGCAACGTCGGATCACGAAAAAACACTTTGCATTAAATCTGTTCTTGAATATAACAGACGCATATTTCTCATCATCTGTCGGTTTGAAATTCTTCCACCTTGATTACTATCTCCCACATCTTTTCAAAACTTACACATGCATAACTGTTCAATTTCCCTATAAACACTTCTAAGGCCACAATACTTTTGACACGTCCCACTCCACACACACAGCCAGTCCAAAGCGCCGCGAAGCGGCGCTTTGGACTGGTCTTATATATAAAGCTGAATGTCTGCTTGTATGTATGTCTGTCTGTCTGTCTGTATGTCTGTCTGTCTGTACGTATGTTCCGAATAGAAAATTCCATTTCTGAACCGATCCGGACCAAACTTGGCACACATACACTTCGGGCCCCGGCGGGTGTCATAGGCTACTTTTCGTCATCGATCGATATCGATTTTATCGATTTTTATCGATTTTTTTGCTGAGTTCACCTACGGGGCTGGGAGTTGGCACAGGGGGGTAATCGAGCATGGGGATTCCGAATACAATATCGGTTTTCAGGATTATCGATTACTTTTATCGATTTTATCGATTTTTTGCAAAGTTTGAGCTACGGGGCTGGGAGTTGGCACAGGGGGGTGATCGAGCATGGGGATTCCGAATACAATATTGGTTTTCAGGATTATCGATTACTTTTATCGATTTTATCGATTTTTTGCAAAGTTTGAGCTACGGGTCTGAAAGTTCGCACAGGGGGGTTATCGAGCAGGGGGATTCCGAATACAATATTGGTTTTCAGGATTATCGATTACTTTTATCGATTTTATCGATTTTTTGAAAATTTGAGCTAGGGGGCTGGAATTTGGCAGGGGGGTGTAATCGAGCATGCTGATCACCCCCCTTGGGGGGTGATCAGCATGCTATCGATTGATCAGCATGCTATCGATCAGCATGCTATCGATTCATGCTATCGATCAGCATCCTATCGATTTTTTGAAAATTTGAGCTAGGGGGCTGGAATTTGGCAGGGGGGTGTAATCGAGCATGCTGATCACCCCCCTTGGGGGTGATCAGCATGCTCGATTACCCCCCTGTGCCAACTCCCAGCCCCCTAGCTCAAACTTTGCAAAAAATCGATAAAATCGATAAAAGTAATGGACGATCTTGAAAACTAATATTGTGTTCGTAATCAGCATGCTCGATTACCCCCCTGTGCAAAATCCCAGCCTCGCATGTCAAAATTTACAAAAAATCGATAAAATCAATAAAAGTAATCGATAATTCTGAAAACTAATATTGTATTCGGAATCCCCATGCTCACTTCCCCCCTCTGTGCCAACTCCTAGCCCTGTAGGTGAACTCTGCAAAAAAATCGATAAAAATCGGTAAAATCGGCATCGATCGATAACGAAAAGTGGACTGTGACACCCGCCGGGGCCCGAAGTGTATGTGTGCCAAGTTTGGTCCGGATACGGCGGAGCCGGGTAAGCCAGCTAGTAGATTATAAAATTGTGCAAATGACTTGCAAATGTCTGCACTTGTAAATAATTATAATAATTTCAAAAATTTTTGAAAATTCATTCAAGCCTTATGAATTTTGGGGGCGTTCATTACCTGCAAGCAAGTCATTTGTCTACCACTCTGTTGTAAACAATTTTCAGCAGTAAGCCCTTCAATCACAAATTTCTTACAGATGTTCGTCTCTAACGCTTGTCTGCTTATATACCAGATTTGGTGTAGTAACGCTATGTGTGCGTTTGAAAGAGTTAAATGTTCACTATTGATAAAACTAGATCTCTGGTAATCGCGAATCAAGCAAGAACGTGTTAGAACGCCAAACGTGTTGTTTGTGTAAAAGTGTGTTCGCTACAGATTAGGTATAGTTGATTCGTTGACCGCACGGACTGGACATCACTGGGGCACGCGCCGCGAGGTAAAACGCTTGCTCCAGTATAAATTCGCTGTTGTACAAGTCGTGCTCTGTCGACAAGTCAGCCGCGCCGCGCATGGTCCGCAGCGTTTGAGTGGTCCGTGCAGTCAACGAATCGACGATATGTTTGACGAGTCCGGCACGTAAATGTGTGCTTAAAGGTAATTTGCTCGCTCCTTTTTTTCTCGATTTTCTCGCTTCCGAAGCGACATTTTGCGCTACGACTTGGACATTGGCTTGATAGGGGGGGGGGCTACTATCACATGCTGCCGAAAGCTCAATACACTCAACTCAGAGTGGTCGGTGCCTTCAAAAGTAATCAAAACGCGGACGTTTTGAAAACGCTCCATTGAGGGAGGGTAAGGGGAATAAATCAAGGTTTTTTCGTCAGTACCTTATTTGGATTTGCAAAACAAAGAGTGGAAAAGCCTTGCGTCGCCTTCACATTATGTTTTTCTTGTGTGGAGCAGCTATATTATTAAGGCTCACTCGGGCGTAATATGAGAATGAGACTGAACATACCTAATTGTCCAAGTAACATAAGTGGCTGGGAAAGGAATGGTGAAAAGTCAAAGTGTGCACCAACAAACTGCACTCCATCGGATGCAACATAGAACGCCTACTTCAAATTTGTTTTCAGTACCTACCTGGCGCATTCGTGTACAATATTGTGAGCAGTTCAATTGCAAGAAAACTGTCTCCACGAATTGCGAAATTAGACACTCAAGTATCTTTTCAGCTTACGTTTACGAATGCATGGACTCGGTCAGCAACCTACCTACATGCTCTGATAGAGCATTACCGAATTTGGTTCTGTATGTCCGGTTTGCACTTTGCTTAGATAATTTCTTTGCAATATAATTGTACAGAGGCGCCTTTTACAGAGGCGTTCAGCTGATAGAAAAACTAGGTTTGGAATAAGCATTTTATGCTGCATCTATTTGTATGCAGATTGCTTGTACTAGACATATCAACAGCAAAATACCAAACAAAGACTAAAGTGGATTTAAAATTTATTAGTTTTTGATAAAAGATCAAACAGCAGTTGATTTGTCTGTGAGTTTTACGAATTTAAAATTTGCTGATTTTTAACGAAGCATAAAGTAACAGTTTGTTTTGTTTGTGATTCGGAAAAATACGTACTTCGATTCGAAGTGCTTAAATATGTGGTAGAGCAGTTGCGGTAGTGATGTTGCAAATTGGGCTTTCAGCTTTGTTAGTAATATGTACTTTATTTTGAACTGCTTAAGCATGGATATCGCGCGTGTGGACGTTATAATGCAAAGGTGAAAACTTATCACTCATCAAAGCTGCACGAATTCCATTTCATGCAGTTTTTTTAAATAATCTAAGATATTGGTGCTCTTTAATTATTCAAAATGTACGGGAAAGAGATTTGATAGGCTTGCATTATGATACAATGTAAAACAGACAAATCATCATACTTTCTGAGAACTATTGAAAATTCAAGTCACAGACGATATCAACGGTCCTAGGCAAATCATGCTTTTTTTAACCTCTAAAACTTTTTTTTATCTAAATGAGATCCTTTCAACTTTCGACATATTCTACTTTTTGGAGTCCGAGCTAAGCTGCCAAAAGGCTATGTCATCTAGAGGGTATATCTGCATGTGGCATTTGAATACCAATTTAAAAAATGTCATCTTTGTCTCACGCAGCTTTCTAAGCAATTCTATGAAATATTATATCCGCTTGAGTTTGGGATATTTCTCTGAAGCGTTTGCATTTTTCAGTATCTTTCGGGAGCGGCTTAGATTGAATTTTCCTTTCTGCTACCGACGATGTACTGTTTGTCAAGATTAAATCATAAAAAGATTTCATATGTGCTTTTCAATTATTGAAAGTTCCTATTACTGATTTCGGAGCTTTAGAGCTTATTACAATGAAATTCCAAGTCTGAAAAAGCGATCCTTAAATACGTACTTTAGTATCGATTTATTTGCAAGGAACGATTGCAAAACTGGTAGAAAAATGTATTATATTTGTCAGAAATGAATTATCACAAAAAAGGAATAAGAAAGTGCACATGAAAAATTTATGCCAACATCAAATACAACGATGATGACGCTTCTGCAGGGATCTGCCCGAATCACTTTGGAACGTATCGAGAGTACCCTGCCCTGATACAAGCACTCGTTCGAATTAGCTTATAATAACAAACAACAACAGTAACATCTGGATTTTTCGTTCCAACTTTAGGGTTTTTTGCCCTTTCCTTAGCCGTGCCGCACTCTATCGTTCCACAAGAATGTTTCTAAAGCAGCTATTTGTGCTCTGTCAATCATATTTGAGTTAAAATTTCTGACTGCAGCTAATTGCTATCTTTTCTCGACTCCGTTTTTTTCCATTTTTGTCAGGATAAAATTATGGAACTGCTAATAGGAGAAGTTTGGAAGAAATCAAAGATTGTGTGTATCACACCATAGACTTTGAAAATACGGGCTAAGTTCAACTTGCATCCTAGATGTGCATGCAGTGAGCATAGTTTTTCCCCCCAAATAATTGGTGAAAAGTTTCTGAGAATCAGTGAGCAACACTACTTCCCTTTTCAAACAACGGACACTCAAGTATTTTGTACAATTTCACTTTTTGATCAGTAGTGCAATGCTTCTTGGCTTTTCTTGAAGCAACATAAAAAAAGTAAATGTAAAGCAATTGTGGAATTAAACGTTACTAGTACAACTTTGTTCTAAGGAAATTGATAATTCACGATTTTCATTCAGATTTACACTCTGCTACCTTGGTCGCAACAATAGTCAAGTGACCAAATTCAGGGTCATCAAAGTTGCCCGTAAGTTCCATCTAGTACGTTTAGCCGATGTGAAAAGCATAGCTGGAATCAGCATTCCAAGGCGTTTACAGTATCAACTTTGTTGAGAAAGACCACTTTAAGTAAATGCTTTCCCGTGAGATAAATTGGCTGCTCCCGATTATCCCGGTACCTCTCCTTGTATAGTGCGGTAAAACTGAGTAGGAATGTTACTGAGCCAGAGCTTCTTCTGAAGCGAAGGTACCCGGAGGTCTAATAGTTTTGAGAAAATAGAAACGGATGTGTTAGCTTAATTCAAATTG